CAAAAGGGGTTTTTTTAACTAAAGATTTTTTTAAAACAAGACAGATAATTTAATCACAAATACTAAAATATCGTTGAGAGCAATAGTTACTTGAATACTTTTTTCATCTGTACTTAATTATTGACCATAAAAAAAATTGATATCGATCGTCCGAGAAAGCAAAATGGCGGTCAATCAAGATTCAATATACAACTAGCTACTGAAAACAATAAAATCTGCAAATCTTCATTGTATGTCAACCAAGTGAAAGTCGTTAGCCACGACTTACAAAATGATCGTCTAGACTTTGAGGGTTTGGCAGATCCGCTCGACTGGTCTGCATCGGTCGACTGGCTGTCGTCACGCTTTCGCTTCTTGTCTGAGGTTACGTATCGTAACATTGTGAGGATAATGAGGTACATCGATGATGCAAGGTATTTATGTACGGTTGTAAACACCTTTCACGCAAATTAACAAGATGTTCTCAGTAATTAATCCTCGATTAATCAGTGTCAACTCAGTTTATTGCCTATTACAGTGATTGACCAATTGGACTATCATGTAGGTACAATGTATTTACAGCAATCAAAACAAACAAAGCTTATCAGCGTAGATAATCTTAATTGTGTTGCAACTGCAGACAGAAACTGCTCAGTCCTAACTGTTGATCATGTCCGGTCAAAATTTAAGAATGTCCGGACAATACTTTTTAAAATGTCCGGTAAGCAATATTTTAAACCGGACATTTGAGATTCCCAATCGGACATGTCCGGCACATTGGACGGTTTCCGGACCCCTGGTGACCCCTAATGGGATGTCTTCAGATCTTTGTTTTGTGGTAGTGAGAAATAAGGTCTGATTTTAATGAGATTGTAATAGAAGTTGACTTAATATATTGTGTGTCAAAGTTGTCGTGTGTGTGTCTATCTTGTGTGTAAGTGCAAAGTTAATGAACGATAACTGCAACAGCTTCTCAAGGAGTGATGAGAGATATATTATTTCACAATTAAGTAGGAATAAGATATGGCGAGTGAGTGAGTTGGGTTTAATGCTGCTGTCAACGTTATTCCAGTTATATAATGGCATGTCAGCTTAATGTGGGAGGAAAGCCAGAAGTGATGCAAGTCTTAGACGTTTACGACTTTAGTGAAACCTACAAGCACGGGTATTGTGCTGACATACCTAGAAACATAATCGGGGCAAACCAGGATTCGAACCCACAGTCATATGTTCCTGGTGTGCCCAAGGGATGCAACTCTGCACAGTTAATTGCGTTGCCTTAATCATCTGTTCCTCCCATGACCCTGGTAGTAGGGAAAGAAATGGCCCAAAGTACAGTCATTACAAATGTTGTGCACATGAATATGTGATCATAAATAGATTTCCTTAGCTTATTTAGGGGCGGTCGAGTAACCTAGTGGTAAAAGCGTTTGCTCGTCACGGGGAAGACCCGGGTTCGATTCCCGACATGGGTACAATGTGCGAAGGCCATTTCTGGTGTCCCCCGCCGTGATATTGCTTGAATATTGCTAAAAGCGGCTTTATACCATACTCACTCACTCACTAAGCTTATTTACGTGTTCAAGAAATAGCATAGATTTGTGCAACTGGTTTAATTTCTGTGAACAAGTACAGCTGAACCCCATTATCGCAAATCTAGCGGGATTGTGTCGTGACAGATCAGGTAACATAATAATAGATTCATAGCAATATGATTGCATACACGAGAAATAAAGAATACAACACGTGTGTGAGATGACAAACTAAAACGTATTTCGCAATGATCAATAACAATGATGATATGTACAGTGTACATGTATGACATGTAGGATTAACAGAACGTGTACATGCACCTCAGAGGCATATAGCAATCAGTAGCAGCAATCAGAAGTCAACAATAGCCGAGTGAGTGGTACGTATTTATAGTCTGTCCACATGACAAACACAGCAAAGTACCACTCTCGCCTCAGGCTTGTTTATTCACTGTTTGGATATTGTGAGTAGTGTCACGCGGCTTTGATTCCTTTAATCCGACTTTGATTTCCACATTTTGATGTAACCGGGAAGTGCTGTTAATAAAGATTAGCATTGGCTTAAAGGGTAAGTACGTAATTGGTTGAACTATTGGTTCAAATTGCATTGTACTTTTACAGCAATGTTAGATTTGCGAGGATAGGTACTAGGGGTGGGATGGGTAACTCTGGTACTCGGGGCCGATGGGTCCTGAGTAGGAACCGGGTACCCACAGGACTACCGGGACCCGTGGTTAGTCACGTGATATATTGCTTAATTACAAAACAATAAGATTCCATGGTTGCACTGGTACAAGTCGCCAGTGTCGCATTTCTGTCTGACTATGCACACATTCCTTCTGACTTTTATGTCTGGGTAACGACAAAGTTTCAGTCAATTTCAGCGTATGCATGATCAAATCGTGTCATACATTATCTAAATACTTTTTGACAGGGCTCTGGTAAAACAATTCCCAATTGAACATTTTGTACCCAACTTGAGACTGACAGCAGGTACCCAGGTAGGGTCGGGTAGTAGAGGGTCAGGTACCCAGGACTTGTCTAAGAGGATTGCTCTTCGCTATATTTGATGTTATTTGAGCTTCTCAAATCTGTTAAGTTGCAAACTTCGAGATAAAGGTACAAAATTCTGTAGAAAAAACTGAGTCCGAGGTTCACGATAACGCTATGTATTTGGATCTCAAATTTCAGATAAGCGGGCAAATTTATATATATATTGATATGGTGAGGGGGTGCAATCGAGATAACAGGTTTGACGGTAAATGCATTAAGTTTTGTTTGAAATTTAATAAGGATTGATAAGCTAATCTAAAAACGTTTGATGATCTGAATCTTCTCTGAATGGAATATTAAGGAGTTGGTGCTCACTCAGTGACCCGAGATAAACGTGCTAGGTACATGTTTACATGCTATCAGTCTGTCATGACTAAACAGGAAAATAAGATCTAATTATGTCATTATTGTTCAACATTGCTCAGGAATCAACAAGCAAATCCCTTTCCATTAAAGTCAGCTACGGCTGATTTAGTGCTCAGTTAAACATGGAGTAATGCTATAGACACAGCAATTACCTACTTATAGTTCGCATATGGGTCTTATCAGAGTGACATCAGTGACCAGTCATGCAGGGTGACTGGGCTCCTGTCTATGTAACTGAGTTGGCTATTGGCTGATTTCTTGAGGGCTGTGATTGGATAACACTAAGCATATCATCCATTTGTTCTTGGCATCGACTGAAAACAAACAGAGCTCTACATGATGTTTGTGAAGTAATATAGCTCTTGCCAAATCAACATCAGAACAGTTGGAATAATTTTAATTGCCCCAAACAAACTTTCAAGGTGTAGACATATCTCCAGTTTTATTTGGGGCAGTGGTGGCCCAGTCGTCTTAGGAACGACATTTCTCTGTACAGAGTTCACTCACTCACTCACTCACTCACTCACTCACTCACTCACTCAGTTTTATTAATCAAGGATGTTATGCCAGCTCACAAATGATGGGGTAAGGTTCAGATTTGAAGTCCACCTCCTGTTGGACAAAAGTGCAAAGTTGTTTATCTCACAAGTGACAACTAATGAGACAAACACTTCAAGCAGCTCCATTAGCTGAACACTTATCAAGACAGGGGGCACGGGTGGCAAAGTTGTCTAAGGCGCCTCACACGTGTTCTGTCATTGCAAACATGTTTTGGGTTGAGGTTTTCCTACAATATTCCTACACTATATCACAGCATGGCACTCCGGAAATGGGATTCACACATTGTACCCATGTGGAGAATTGAACCTTGGCCTTTGGTGTAATGACCGAACACTTACAACACTAGGCTTCTCCTGTGGCTCGATATCTTATCTGAAGAAATAAATTTCCAAATACGACATTCAGTAACACACAATGTAAAAATATTTGAATACAACTGGTTGTGATCTTCATATTAGTGAATTTGACAACTACATATATTTTTGCCATCTATGATTAGTGATCAGAAAGTTTATGAGGGTGATAACTTTAGGTTGAAGCGTTTGCTGGTCCACCGAATGCCCATGTTTGGTTCCCCTCCCATCCCATATGGATACCAAAAAAAAGTCATTTCTTTGAGTCCCCCGATGCTTCATGAGTATACGACCACCTCCGCGGACTCCCTGATGTTAAACCCCATTTCATTTCACTTCACGCATATACGACCACCTCCGTGGACTCCATGATGTTAAACTGCATTTTACTTCACTTGATGCATATATGACCAACACCACAGACTCCATGATGTTAAACCTCATTTCATTTCACTTCACGCATATACGACCACCTCCGTGGACTCACTGATGTTAAACCCCATTTCATTTCACTTCACGCATATACGACCACCTCCGTGGACTCCATGATGTAAAACTGCATTTTACTTCACTTCATGGATATACGACCTTCACCACGAACTCCACAATGTTAAACCTCATTTCACTCATGCATATACAACCACCACCACGGACTCATTTCACTTCACTTCACCTAACGCATATACAACCACCTCCGCGGACTCCATGATGTTAAACTGCATTTCACTTCACTTGATGCATTTACGACCTTCACCACGGACTCCATGATGTTAAAAGTCATTTCACTTCATGCATATATAACCACCACTGTTGGCTCTGAAATGTTAAACCTCATTTCACTTCCATTTCCAATGCCCTATGCCAGATTTTTGATGGTATGTATCATGAGTCAGTTGTGGAAAATTCAGACCATTAAATTCAATACAATATCTCATTTAAAAGTGCTGACAATTAAACCTGACTTGTTCCTTTGAAGCCAAGACTCAATGAAGTACTGTGGGTTGACACTGTACAGGGGACCAGGTTGTTCCAGTGACACTGTACAGAGGACCAGGTTGTTCAGTGACACTACAGTGGACTGTGGGTTGTTCCAGATAGACTGTACAGAGGACCAGGTTGTTCCAGATAGACTGTACAGAGGACTTCGTTGTTTCAGGAGCTGGACACACAGAGGCATCAGAACCGTCAGGCCACCAAGGACAAGGTGTTTGCTGTAGCTCGGGCCAAGGACATGGTTCGCGACCAAAACAGTGCCGAGCTGGAGAGAATCAAGGACAAGGTCAAACAGGTGAGGGAAAGGTCAAGGTTAAAGCATCTTGGTGAATGCGATCTACACAGTATGTAACAGTCTCCACTAAAACAGAACTGCAACTCAGTAGCTGTTTGACTTCATCAAATACTGGTGGGTAATACAGATAGGGCAGGGAGATGTGAAGGAAGTATGAGTACAAATAATAATTAATATGTATCTGGGGGGGTGTTGTATCCATCACTTATTATCCCCTGCCCAACAAAGTTGGCGGGGGATATAGAAACGGGCTCCGTCCGTCCATCCGTCACGTTTTGTTTCCCGAGCATAACTCAGAAACCGTTCAATATTTTTCATCAAACTTTGCAGGTCTGTCAGGTACATGCTGAACTGGTGCCTTTTGCTATTTAGAAATTTTAGAAATTTTTATTTTTTACATTTCCATGGCAGCAAGATGGACTCCAAACTCTTCTTTTTTTTACAATTTCCATGACAAGTTCCACCTCGGTTAAAAAAGGTTAGGGTTTGTTTAGATTTAATTATGTCATAAATTCTGCAACATGGGTGGGGGATATAGCCACGTTAGTGGCAAACTCTTGTTTTTCATTGACTATAACTCAAATATCCAGATATTCTTTAATGCAGACTTCACATAGTAGGCACTCTATCTGCCTGGAACAGTCGGGAATATGTACAAACACAAACTACACACTGAGGACATTTGCATGTAACTACAGTGAGCCTGGTTATCTGGAATCCCTGCCTACCTGGAAACACTGTTGAGGAAGTCTTTGTAACATACGCCAAGGGAGATTACTCAATACCCACAAATCTGTAATCTGGGAATTTGTTACGTTGATTAATGGGTGGGTTTACCTGGAACAGTCAGTACAGATTAAGCAGGATAGACTCACCTCCACATCTGGGCTTGTCCTCCATGTAAAGCCCCTCAGTGGAGTCACTACCAACAGTAGGGCTGGAAAACAGTCACTGGATGTTCACTGAATCGGGATACTTTGAGTGAGTGAGTGAGTGAGTATGGAATTACACCACTTTTAGCAATATTACAACAATCTCACGACAGGGGAACCAGAAATGGGCTCTTGATACTTTGTGATATGATATGAGTATAGCATGGCAATGTTTTATATTGATACAAAACTATAATTTTTAAGTATATTTTAAAGACCGCCATCATATAGCTGGAATATTGCTGAGTGCTGCGTTAAACAACAAACAATAATAAAAATAATATAAAAGTATATATACTACTGAAAAGAAAGTAAGGGACGCCCAATTCTTTCATATCACTATAGTTCATCTGTCACGCCAAGACAGGTTAACCATAGGAATGTGACAGAATTGTATGTTCCTGTGAGTAATATTTATAAGGGTGACATGTAAAATGGTTTGAACACTGATGTGCTTTGATCTCTTGTATATGTACAACAGGTATCAAGTCACAGTTTTATAAATTGACACAAATCTAATTGATACATTTTAGTTGGACAGCTGTTTATTTCCTGTAATGATGAAAATTTTCCCTAACAAGTGTGGAGATTTTAATGTATAGTATTGTGTAGTGTATTGCAACTTTACTATCGAGATATGGAGCGTATCACAGCAATGTGTATTGTTATAGCCTTACTAACGGGCATGATTGTTATAGAAGGGGAATGCTGATCCTTGCAAGCACCTGCCCATGTAGCTGAATCTATGACTCGACACATGCTTAAGAATGTTATCACCAGGCATTTTATACACCTTTAGTGAGATGCTAGTCTGTCTTACAGACGACAGCCTCCGTGGTCTAGTGGTAGAGCGTCTGCCCGGAGAGCGGAAGGTCCGGGGTTCGATCCCGGGCCGCGTCATACAAAAAGACGTTAAAAGATTGTACTTGTTGTTACCCTGTCTGGCGCTCGGCATTAAGGGGCTAAAACAAGGACTGGTCGGCTCAGAGTCAGTATACTGTGTCTGAGTGGGGTATTCATGTTAAACTGCGGCATGGTATCTCAGTGAGCTAGCACTATAAATCGGCATGAGTCCGGACTAGTACAAGCAGCCACACACACACATACACGTGCATGCACATCGCTATATAAGTGCAATAATCTTGGACGCGACGTTAAACCCAATTTCACCTCACCTCACCTGTCTTACAGACCCTGATACAAATATATCATATACAGCCCATGCAAGTCTATAATGTTTGGCAAGTCTAGATTTCTGCAGTATCAGGAAATGATATCTGAAAATGAAAAGAGTCTCTGGGCTCCTTTTTATTATTTTTTTAAAGATAATTTAACAACTGTTTTTTTTCTGTATGATATGTTCATGTCAGAGATTAGATGTTAGTCTAGTGAGATGCTTGTGTTATATTTTATCATTTTTATGAATGTGTTATTATTATTATTCTATTATTTCTAAGCACTAAGTGCCTGGAAGTAGAATCAAAGAGCCTGAAGGCTGATGTAGTGATGTTCACTATAATGTTTCATAATGACCCTTTGTTAGTCTTACTTGAACAAATTGTGCATACTGAATGGCCAGAGAATTCCTGGCTCTGTTTCTATAAACCCTCAAGAACACATACTGTATCCGACGTAATAAGCACCCCGCTTTAATAAGCGCCCATGGCGATATTTGCTAATATATTGGCTAGTGAACAATCCCAATTAGCACCCCTTCCGATTGATCAGTGTACACAAGACTTATTTATTCGTGTATAATACGCACTCATGTGTTTTATGCACCCTTAATTATGGGCAGTTGTGTTGTGTATAATACGCACAGACTTTTCTTTTGTATCATTTCAAGCTGTCAGCATAACCATGAAATTTACAATCTTTCAACTCTGTTTTTTTTTTCTCACCAAAATTATATTCTAATAGGAGCCCCCTATTTCTAATTTTGAGAGCGCCCTGAGCGGGTATTACATCAAATACGGTATGTCAGGCCCAGAGCCCAACATGTCCAATAGGCTTACTGGGTATGTAAAGAAGGGAATTAAAATCCTAATGAGTAAATTCATAAGAAAGTCTACTACAGGGGGCAACTAAACAATCTGGCCTTGTTACTGAGTTGTTTGTTGTATAACTGAATGTGTTAGTTAATACTTAGTGTAGGTTGATGAGGACTATTCATAGTCCTAAGGATGAACTAGAACTGTGTATAGAAGCTGGTGTAGAGTCCTGTGTGTTGTAACAAGTACGGGGCAGTGCTATGACATACTGCCTATGCTAGAGTTCTCTTTTTAGAGTCATTATAATTGAACTGTTCGGGCAAAAACTCTTCTTGATCAACCAGAAGACCACAAACCAAGTAATGATTGTTACAACATGTCATGGATGAAACGCCTGGCATTATGATTACTCTCTCAGGAGACAAGTGATAGAATTCAAGACACAGAACATGTTAATTCTGTTATGAGCATACTTATCTTAATGTACATGAATGTTTTTGACATGATGTTGTGATAAATTTATACCACGTGACATTTACCCCGTCGTCATGGCAATTGACCGTTTTGCTAATCTCTGCCAAATCCCTGTAATCTCTAAAGTTCAAGATCCTTACAGCAAAATGGTGACTTGTGATTAATGATATCATTGATTTGTTAAGTTTGTCAAGTGATACACAGAACATACACAAAATGTCATCTGGCAATATGGCAACAAACAAATGCTTCAAATTGTGGTAAATGGTAAGCATGGCGGCCCCACAGAGGGTACATCAATCCAAATTCTCTAAACGAAAGTCTACAACTTATATGAGATGTGAAAAAAACATGGTAATATTATCTGTTTATATATTTGTGAGCATGGTTTTATGCTGCTTTAGGCAATATTCAAGCAATATCACTGCAGGGGGCTATCATGGGATAACATTTATACTAAGTTATCTTATAATAATTAGATCTACATCAAGTGCTTTTATGAGTTATCATGGTGTAATATTTATACATCATTTCATATAATTATAGTTTACCAAGTAATAAATATCATTAGGTAAAATGCATATATAAAATATCAGTAGTTTCAGTTAAAGCTTTTTAGATGGTTGCTAGCCTAAGGTAATGGGAGCGCGTCTTCTAGACATACTATTCAATAAGACAAGAGTTACGTCTACATAGTTTAATTGATTTGAAGCTTTTAGATAAATGCTAGCCTAAGGTATCAAGATCCCATCTCCCAGACAAAGGATATTTATTTAAGTATATCTGTCATCACCTACCGGGGTATATTAGAATAACATTACTTCAATTAAGACTCATTAAGGATTAGCCCCCATACAAGCTCGTCTATAGTGCATTAAGGATTAGCCCCCATACAAGCTCATCTATAGTGACACCCTAATCTCTTTCAAAGCATCCAGTAAATATGTCAACAAGATTAGTGCCAGTCCAACAGGATAAACAGGATTTAGTATTCCCCTCTGTCTAGCCATCCATTTAGCTTAGGACACAACCAATCGTGTATCATCCAATCACATTCCATTTTATTGTTTAAATTTTTGTTAAATACATACTGTAGGCAGGTTTTAGGCAGAGAAGGGGTTTGACTCTCTTACCAAGCAGACCTCTCTCCCACAGCCCAGAGTGTGTACCGACTCTCTGTGGCACCCTAAGTTATTATCTAAGATATTGTAAATTGTTAATTGTTCTTGTAAATAAAATTGTGATTAGTCTCCTGTGACTCTGGCTCTTTGCTGACTAATTCCCCAAGAAAACCAGCACGTCATTTGGAAGGTATTGTTCACCCAGAACAGCTCCATGATAATTTGGCGGAGAATCATCGATTTCGGAACCACAGAGTCCAGGAACTAACTACGACCAGCTACAAGAACCCATTGGAGGACATGTCCAACTGTGATCATCTGATGGAATAACAAGCAAGCTGCATCAACCTCTGACCTCAACACTGGAATAAAGACAACCAACTCCTCCAAAGACACCAACAAAGGAAGAAAAAGTCTTCAAATATTGTAAGTAATACATTGTTGATTTCTTGTCATCCTTTAATTTAGTACGGTACATACTA